TTAAATACGACCTTAAGAGGGGTTTGCAGTATCAAGTATCAGAGTTCATTCCTCTGATACAACACTTGTATACGGGGTTAACTGACATCCTGATCACGAATATGGCATTTATTTTCGACGCTGGCGCCATTTGGCGCCACACCTTTTCTTCCCAAAATCGATAAAAACTTGCGTAATAGGGTTGTTTGATGCCCTGATCGCGAGTATGGCATTTATTTCTCCATACCAGCGCCATTTAGCGTTCTGCTGAGGCTGAACTTGGGAAAAGGAGTGATTCCCTTCAGGCCAGGCTTAGTCCTAGCAAAGCGCAGAGGACCTACGTTAGCGCCGGTGCCAAGAATAAATGTCATATTCGTAATCAGCATGGCAAATAACCCCCGTACACAACAAGTTTTCAGCGAATTGGTGATTAGGGTATTTTGGCGCCGGCGCCTGTGTCGCAGGCGCCAGGCAGTTTCGGGAAAAAACGGATGTGATATTGGGGGAGGGGGGGGGGTCGAAGTACCCTTACGAGCGAATTTTCAGTCCAAATCTGCCCATGTAGAAAAAAGTCGGTAAAAAACCGGCCTGATTTCAGCAGACTGGTGTACGAATAGTTCAATGGTGCCGAATAAAATGATGCCAAAGTACATTATTCGGCCAGAACCAAGAACATAACGCATAAGACCACCTCATCATCAGATCCACTATCGCTATCACTGTCATCACTCGAAGAGTCAGAGGAACTGCTGCTATCAGCTCCCGGGAATGAAGAACTGCTAAAACATGATAATTTTCATAGCACTCACTAGTATGCATACAACCGAAACATGATGGTAACCTTGGTTCAGGAGGAGGTGGACGTTCAATGCGATTGGTCCGCAAGCGGGCCATTTCAGATCGTAGGACGTTTTCCGTCGATGGATCCAAATCCCTGCGAAAATTCGTGAATAAAGTAAGGAAATCGAGAACAACTTCAACATGAAAAACTGAGGGCTGGAAAATATAAACTGGCTCAAAACTTACCTGGTCTTCTTAACATTGATATTTGAAGCAATCTTTTCTAATCGAACTTTCCCAGACTTTTTATCGAAAAACAGCAGGCATTCTTTGGCTTTTGCTTCCTTTTTCGATCCTTTGAAAACAGTCATGTTCTCCCCATCAGTCGGTACAGCAACCTACAGATATGATATGAAATACTTTAGATGAAAACCTGACCAGGCAATCACACAAGTTTTAATTTTCTAATCACACACCTCAAAATAAACAACCCAAACCCGAAAGTCTAAAAATCAAGGAAACGACAAACATGGACATCCCCGTTGGCTCCGAATGCGATGTAAGTGTCGGAATCCGAAGATGCCACTGACATCGGTTTGAAATCATCTATAAGTGGAATATAAGGGTAGAAATGAGCACTTCGGTCTGAGTTTTCTGTTGTCTCAACTAAAAACCAATATATCTTATAACTATAACTAATGATATTCTATATCCCTTACATCGCAAGGGGCTGGTCCGGGGTGGTAGGAAGGTCCATCGTTACGCCGTTGATCGGTGAAGGTTTTTTCCGAGTTCGAGCATGTATGACCCGGGAGGGATGTCCTTCGTCTCAGCCATATCCTACCCTGAATCAATAAGAGTCAAATTTTTTCAAAGAATAAGATCATGCAATACTGACGAGTAGGAGCAGACGACAGTAAATGGGGACGGGTCGGGAGATAACTCGAAAGCTGGCACAGAGATCAGGCTCTCGGGATAGGGACAGCACTCATGAGTAGAAGAGACAGAATTGATAGCCCAAGCTCGGAATTGATAGGCTCAAGCTCTAAAAGATCACTCCTTCATATCATTGAAAGAAAATGTGGGAAGCAACATTTCCTTAGTCATTTATTGATAATCAAGGCCATATTTCATTCCCTTCGAGAAGAGGAGTCCACCTCCTTGTAAGCTATTCCCTCAAGATTCTCACGCTCGCGGTGGAAGATACCACGGCGCGGTGCTAGTGTTGGCTGCGTTCATAGATTGTGTCGGAAGAATAAGGGAATCGGCGATTCGTCGTTTCAGGCGCTCGCCAGAGTAAATCTCCGACCTGCGATATGGGAGAATAGGAGAATCGTCAATTCGACGTGGTGGAAGGACGCTGGTTCGCCTAACACATTGGATCGCCAACGGCCAGTCTATCGCTTCCATCCACTACCTCACTTTGAAGAGAAAGAGTGAAGAGACCGTACAAAAGCCAACGACTGTTAAAATGAAAACTGTACACTATCCCAGCGGATCCTGATCCTTGCCATATGTGACGTCAATGGGCCCGCAGTAGCAGTAACGGTGCCATTTCCTCCGGCTCGGAAAGGGACTGGAGAATACTGATATGCGGGTTGATGCTCCCTCACGACTTCGCCCCGACAACCTTCCGAAGACTTAATACTTATCGATCAGCCGGCGTAACCGACGTAAATGACGTAAGGCAGCGTTCATACTTCTCGACAGCAGCGGCGATCGTCGGTACGCGTCAGAGCGCGCCCAAACGCTATTACTTGGACTGCGAATGCTGCTAGGGAAATCGGCTCAATTTCGTGCTTTTTTTCTTTTGATTGCAACTGTCTCTAGTGTTTTGACTCAAGGAAAGGTGAACCAAACTTGATGGCTTTTCCTTTATATTCTCTTTTTTGATTCAGGATAGAAACGAGCAGAAAGCGTGGGAGCTTCATTTAGTTGTTTTTGGACAAATGCAAAACAGCAAGAGCTGCCTGGAACCGATCCGACGACGTCCCGGACTACGAAACCCACTCGCTATCCGTTGCGCTCTGCTGCCACGTGTCGGGAAAGACTCCATTCATTAATGTGAAGACGCTTCCACGTTTCGTCGCGATAGCATGTAAAACAACCACGAGGGGAGAAATCCCTCCATAACTCCGTTCAGAGAATCGTTCTGCAAATTTTGAAGACAGTTCTGAGTTCACCGTCCCAAGACGCGTACAACGGTGTGCAGCTCATTGGAAATGGCCAGGCTGACCTGTTGACCTTTCCTGGTGAGCGGAGAAGGAGAAACACTTCTGCAGTTGCGGACCCACTCACGTCAAACATATCATTGTTCATAGTCTGCGACCCTGACGAAACAGCGGTTCTGCGAAAAGCAATAGATGCGTATCGATTTCACTGGCTCCGCCCTAGAGAAACACCAGGGTGGTCGGCCTAGCGTTTTTCGCCCAACCGCTTCGCCGAACCGCCCGTCGATACGTATCAAAACCGTTTCGCGCAACCGCCAGACTCTTCGCCCAACCGCCAATCGATACGTATCGAAAGCTTTTCGCTGAAGCGTTCTAAGAGAAACGAAGTTCTAGAGTTTACAAATCTCACTCTGGTAATACTTGTGAACGCTTGTGAAGCTGGAGTAAGATCGTCTAGCCACCATCCTAAAACGTGTCAACTCGAGAAAAGGCTACCTAGATGGGTCGGCACATCTATGGGAAGCAGAATGCCCCCGTCGACAAACTGCGCCAACACTTCTGCAGTTGCGGACCCATTCACGTCACACAGCAAGGAGCAGAATCCCGAGGCCAGAGCACAGTTC